GGCCTCGCACAGAGGTCGATTTCAGAGGAAACGCGCGCCTTGCAGGCCGACAACACCCGCCTGCAAGCCCAAATGACCAGCCTCCGCCAGGAGCTGTTAGAACTTCGGCAGGAGATGGAGCAGGTGCGAAAACAGGGGTCCGCCAATGCCTGCACGGACGTGACGATGGAGGCCGTCCCTGTCCGGCCCCCGCAACCACGAGCAGAGACCTCCCTGGAGGACATATGTCGGACGGTCATGGTCCAGGTGGGCGGTATGCTAAATGCTCGCCTGGCCTCCCTGGAGGACCGATTGCTGCCGGAAAGGAGCCTTCGACCACCACTGGCGTCGGACAGAAAGAAGGAAGCCCGCTCATTCGCAGATGTGACCGCGAAGCCCACACCCGCACCAGCTTCGGGTGGAACAAGAGCGCCCCCGCTGCCAGCGCAGCCCGGTCCTAGCGGACTTGCGCGCCAAGCGCCCGCTGCGCAGCCCAAGAAGGGCAAGAAGAGCTCCAAAAAGAAGAAGAAGGCCCGGCCACCGATGGGCGAGAACACAAAATCCTCCTCCGTCGCCCCCGTAACATCTTCAAAGGCAGTTCCTTCCCGTCCTCCAAATCCGGACGCGCTGGAGGAGAACTGGACAACTGTAGGAAGGAATGGAAAGGCGCAACGGCACAAGTCGAAGGCGGCCCCCGTGCAGGCACCCACATCTACGCCTGCACCACCGCCGCAGAGACTAAAAGTGCCCCGATGCTCCGCGGTCGTTGTGACGCTTACCGATGCAGCGATCAATAAGGGGCTGACGTACAGCGGCGTCCTTAGGGAGGCGAAGACAAAGCTGGACCTAAAGGAAACAATCGGCGTCGAGGCGGTCCAATTTCGTCGGGCAGTCACCGGGGCCACTATTATTCGAATCCCCGGCGCCACCAGCGCATCGAAGGCCGATGTTCTGGCGCAGAAGCTCCAGGAGCTCTACGGCGACAGCGACATCAAGGTCTCTAGACCGGAAAAATTAGTCGACGTCAAAATCGAGGGTCTGGACGACTCGACAACATCGGAGGACGTTAAAGCAGCCATCCTTAAGAAAAGTGCATGCGCGGGTGACCAGGTCCGAACTGGCCGGCTTCGTCAAAATAGATCGGGCCTGTTTGACATCTGGGCTCAGGTCCCTGTGGCGGCAGCAAAGAAGCTGACGACGGGCCGCTTCTTGGTGGGCTGGGTGGCTGCCAGAGTCACCATTGGCAGACCCAGGGAGTTGCGCTGCTACCGCTGCCTGCAGCAGGGGCATGTGGCGAGCCGCTGCGACGCGGAGGACCGCAGCCGGCTCTGTTACAAATGCGGACAGGAGGGCCACAAGGCCGCGTCTTGCCCATCGCAACCGAGTTGCATCTTATGTACGACAGCGGGCAAGGATGCCAAACACCGACTGGGAAGTCTCAAATGCTCGGCACCCAGAAAGACGGTCCCAAGGAGAGTGATTGCGGACGTAGCACGCAGCGCGCCCCCACCGAGCGGGGAAGAAATGGAGATAGCGGAAGTCGTCCAAAATTAGCATGGCCCTACGACTTCTCCAAACAAACCTCAACCACTGCGCCAGAGCCCAGGATCTGTTTATCCAAAGCTTGGCGCAGTGGTCGATAGATCTTGCGGTGGTATCCGAACCGTACCTGGTCCCGGATAGAAGCAATTGGGTGGGGGACCTCGAACATCTAGTCGCAATATACTCAGGCGGCCACCCCCCAATTGCCTCGGTCAAAAAAGGTAGAGGTTGCGTAGGCGCCAAATTTCCCGGCGTAGTCTTGATAGGAGTATATTTTTCCCCTAATCGTTCGCTGTCGGATTTCGAGGCGTATCTGGAAGAAGTCAGCTCCCTTGTTCGATGGGGAAGACCGCTCGAGGTTGTTGTTGCAGGGGACCTAAACGCTAAGTCTAGAGCCTGGGGTTCCTCCGTTTCTGACAGCCGCGGCGAGGTTCTACTAGCGTGGATGGCGCAACATGACTTGACGCCACTCAACACGGGCTCTACACACACCTGTGTGCGCATGCGGGGCGGGTCCGTTGTAGATGTCGCCCTTGCGAGTCCCGCCCTGGCATGCCGCGTGCAGGACTGGGAAGTGCTGACTGAGGTGGAGACGCTGTCGGACCATCGCTACATCCGGTTCGACATTCTCCCCTCGTCAGCACCCCCGACCAGTCGAAACATTTCCATTCCTCCTGAGATCGGACAAATGTGGTCGTTAAGATCCTTAGACAGAGAGGCAGCAGAACTCGCCACCATAGTAGGGACATGGTCCCAAAGAATTGAAGAAAAAGGCGTCGACGACGGAGTGCAATGGCTTGGCGAGGTTCTGGCACACATCTCAAACTGCGCCATGGTCAAAGTTCGGCCGTCGCCGCGGCGTCCAAATCGAGTGTACTGGTGGTCGGACAACCTTTCGCAGTTGCGCTCTAGCTGCGTGCTTGCCCGCCGCCGGTACACCCGATACCGAAGAAAACGTCGTGGATGGGAGGAGTCGGAGGAACGGCGTCTCTACGCCGCATACCAAGAGGCCAAAAAGGCCCTGCGGTGTGAGATCACCGTCTCCAAAGACCAGGCCTGGGAGGAGTTTCTGAGTACCTTGGAGGTGGACCCATGGGGCCGGCCATACAAGCTCGTAATGAGTAGGTTGCGCCCCTGGACCCCACCTCTTACCTCTACCTTGGACCCGGCACTTATAACATCTATAGTGTCGACACTCTTCCCTCCCAGCGCCCTTTATACCGGATTTGACTTTCCCGACTCGATACCTCCCGGTTCTGTCCCGGGGGTATCCGAGTCGGAAATACTCTCGGCTAAGACGAAAGTGCAGAGCAAGCGCACTGCCCCAGGTCCCGACGGGATACACGGGAGGGTGCTTGCTCTGTCACTCAATCACGGACTAGACGAACAACTCAAAACATTGCTTACCATGTGTCTGGAGGAAGGCAAATTCCCGTCGAAGTGGAAAACGGGAAGGCTGGTCCTGCTGAGGAAACCCGGGAAACCGGAGAACTCCCCGTCGGCGTATCGCCCGATTGTTCTGCTTGATGAGGCCGGCAAGTTGCTGGAGAGGGTGATTGCCGGTCGCATCAACGACCATCTATCCTCAGCAGGGCCAGACTTGGCCGACACCCAATTTGGGTTCAGGAGGCATCGTTCGACGATAGACGCCATATCCAAGCTTCGGGGCATCTGTGAAGAGGCGAAATCTCAGGGCAGGGTAACGATAGCGGTGTCGCTCGACATTGCTAATGCTTTCAATACCCTGCCCTGGGACAGTATAATGGCGGGACTAGAACACCACCGCGTCCCCCTGTACTTGCGGCGAATTATCTCCTCCTATCTGCGGGACAGGAAGATCGTGTTCCCCACGCAAAATGGCTGGGAGAATTATAACATCTCGTGCGGAGTTCCACAGGGGTCGGTCCTAGGGCCGCTCCTGTGGAACGTTGGCTATGACGCGGTGCTGCGGGGAGTGTTAGTCCGTGGGGTGCAGCTCCTGTGCTACGCGGACGACACGCTCGTTGTGGCAACTGGCACCGACTTTAGGGAGGCCAAACTGCGGGCCACTGCCGGGGCCTCACACGTCTCGGCAAAGATCCGTAGTTTGGGCCTGAGGGTCGCCCTTGACAAGTCGGAGGCGATTTACTTCCCCGGCAACAGAAGACCGCCCCAATCGGGGCTTGAAATCATAGTTGGAGGTACACCGATTCCCATTCGAGGCAGTATTAAGTATCTAGGTCTTACCCTCGATTCGAGGTGGAGCTTCAGACCACATTTCGTCGAATTGGCCCCAAAGCTCGATGCCACGGCTGCGGCTTTAAGCCGCATCCTCCCTAACATCGGTGGCCCGAGCTCTAAGCGCCGCCTCCTATTCGCGGGAGTGCTGAGGTCGAAGGCCCTATACGGATGTCCGGTTTGGGCCAACGACCTCTGCGCCCAGAATAGGGCGATGCTTCGGCGGTCGCAGCGTGCTGTGGCGATCAGGGTCGCGAGGGCATACCGCACGGTATCATTCGATGCTGTGTGTGTCATCGCGGGCCTATTGCCATGGCACCTGGACGCGGCCGCCCTGGCGTCGGTCTACTGGCACAGAGCTAGTAGGCGGGAAGAGGGAGAACAACCATCCTCGGAAGAAATGAAAGAATGGAGAGTCCGCGCCCAAAATAGACAGATGGAAGGAAGAGCTAGGGTCCGCCAGGGCCGGGTCGTGGACGGTGGACGCGATCCGCCCGAGACTGCGGGACTGGGTGAATAGGCGGTGGGGTCACCTCTCCTACCGGCTGGTGCAGATGCTGTCTGGCCACGGCTGTTTTGGCAAGTATCTGCACCAAATTGCCGGTAGGGAACCAACACCGAGGTGTCACCACTGCCCTGAAACCAACGACTCCGTCGCCCACACGATTTTCGATTGTCCGGCATGGGAAGCCGAGAGGCGACCCATCGCCAATAGTACTGGAATTGACGCGTCGTCACTCGCGGAGGTCATCTCCAAGATCCTCCAATCCGAGGAGTCGTGGAAGGCGCTCCACGATTTCTCGGAGCACGTGATGGCCACCAAGGAGAATGCTGAAAGGGAACGTGAGGCCGACCCGGCATCCGCCCCTCTCCGGCGAAGAAGAGCAGGTCGGCGCCGACGGATATTTATTCGCCAGGCGTAGGTTTGCACATTTTGGAGAATTTATACATATTTACAAATGTTATATTTATGTTTTATATTTTATATTTAATATTTATATAACTATCTGTAGATATATACTGTAAGGTGCTAGTGTTGTTATATTGTTATTGTTATTGTTATTGTTATTATTATTATTACTATTACTTTACTTTATATACAAACACTTAATGTTAAGGAGAATTATTTATTATTTATTTATTACTCATTTACCTTATACACTTGTTGTTTAATGTTGTGTTTAATGAATAAATAATGAATATGGAGAGCTGTACACACAGCAGCACGGGTCGAAGTTCTGGTAAAGGCTCAGCTGGTACAGAACGAGACCAAACGTGTAAGGAGGGCCCGAGGGGTTTTAGTGGGTATGGCCGAACGACTTTAGGCGAGTCCCAC